TTCATGGTCATCATCAACAATAAAAATATTGTTGCAGAAAATGTGTAAAATTGATCAAAGTAAGATTCTGAATCCTCTGTGCCAGATTTAATATCATCAGTCTTTCACTCCTACAGCTTAGCATCCTGAAAATACCCACTAACTTCAATATAAAAACACAGGTATTTATTTATCTATAAGATGTCTTCTCAGTGAGCACAAAGCAATGGAAACATTTTCTCAGACACAATAATCATCAGCTAATATAACACTTCTAAACATAGACATGAGGTGTCTGACACAGGGGACTTTTGTGTCAAATATAGTGACGGTAGCAGCGCGGTGAAAAGCTGAGAAAAGTGTGGGCGGAATAAAACAGGAGCTAAAAACCATTCAATTTAAAGACAAGAAGATAGGCAAAGTTTTCTTATTGACCAGAATGAGCTTACTTTTATTTATTGTGACTTAGTCCTTCCTCTTATCTTGAATAGGTACCTTAATGGGCGGCAGAGGACTTGGGGAAATCAGTCTTTATATAACAAAATGATGATTTGTTTTCCAAGCACCATACCATCATCATCATCATCACCATCATCATCATCATTATTATCATTATTATCATTATCATCATTATCATCACCACCATCATCATCATCATATATATAAATAATAATGATCATCAACATTATGATTTACACATGTATCCTGTATGTTAGGCTGTTAAAGACATTGGTTACAGCCTATGAACCCAGATGAATTCAGTTAAATCTAATCTAATTTAATATTGGAACATATCTCAGTTGTAAATATCAAGAGTAAAAAGCAACAGCTGTACAGAGGTTTGGCGTTAAACAAGCTTCCTGACCTTGGCCACAAATTCCTTAGAAGAGCTAAAGTGACGTTTCTGCTATTGAACATGCACGCGCTACGTGTGTGCTTAAAACGTGGACGCACGCACGAAGTTGGCGGATGTGCACTGAAGATCGATGAGCCCAGCCTAGTCCCAGGAGACCAGGCAGAGCAGTCAGAGGAGAAACAACGGTGAGCTTTGTCCCCTTCTCTCTCTTACTCGCTTCTGTTCACTTTGGACGAAGCTTCTGAAATGTCTCCTCCAAACGATGAAGTGGTTTTTTTTAAATAATGATAGAGCGGACTTATTCCTGCAGTGACCACAATGGAGCTGGCTCTTCTGCTGTGGATGGTTTTGAGTCTAACAGAGAGCGCATCAGCAGAGGCAGAACAGTACAGCCGAGCGGTGGTGAGTAGAAAAGAATCATCACAGACCCCCAGAAAACCTTTATAAAAAGTTGTAGCCTCCCTTCGATTTGTGTACTTTGTGTTGATTCTATGCTGATTCTAGGCACCTACTGGAATTGGCTGTAATATTTAACTTTCAACAAATTATTTCTTTTTTTTCGAGCAAAAAACATTTGACAAAAATATAAAACGTTGAAGATTTGACTCACTTTGTTGATTCATTAAAATTGACAGCATTTCACATATAACCATGTCAATTTAATCGCAAATATGTCTACATCCAATGATATATTGCACGTGTTTTATTATTTTTCTTAATATAAAGGTTTGTTGGGTAGAGATATATTTCTGTCTCATGTGAGAGGGGTGTCATATTGACCGCTTTAGGTGACCCACAGGGTTTAAAATACAAGTGTTGTTTTTGCAGATTTCGACTATTTTCTTTAAAAGAGCACAACATCTAATCTGTCTTCAGTTGATTGCATTGAAAAACATCAAGTTCACTTAAAAGCAACAGAGTGAAAATGTGTGAGTCCCTCACACTCTTCACTTCCTTAAAAAAGCGACTTGCCCAACTTCACTCTTATGAGAATCTGTGTGCAATAAGTTGTGGGAAGAAAGGTTTCACTTCTGCTGCAGTCCATATGTTTTGTTGTTATCCATATGATGGTGCTAGTGTTCAAGGAGATCTGTGTGTGCAAAATATGTGACCACAATGAAACAGTTTTTCAGGTGCATTAATACAGACTTTAAAAAAACTAGAGAAGACAAGTGCATTGTTCTTAGGGACACGTTTTTGCAGCATAAAACCCACAGAGAAGACGGTTGATGGAGAAGACAACACCTTTTCCTTTCAAGTGCAGCTACAGTGAAAGGGTGGAGGCAGTGTGGGAGGAAGGGCAGGTTTCTAAATCGCTTGTAAGAAACAGTTTTTACTTGTGTCAACACAGATGTGTGCTTATGTCAATTCCCAACTATTCGCTTCTCTTTTTTCTTGAATGCTTTAAGCAAACCATCAATGCTACTCATACCCCTTCAAGCAACCCAACAAGAACAGGATAATTTAATATTAATGACAAAAGAGGTTGACACTGCCTTGTAAGGCACATGCTCACATGATGTCCACTGATGATCTGGAGTCATAAGTGGAGCAGTGTTTGTGTCAGATAGCCTCCATGTTGCAACATTGGCCTCTAACTTGACTCATGTAAGAGATGGTTTTTATCATCACACAAGAGATATGTGTTTTTCTTCCTCTGTTTTCTGTGCAGGATTGGTTGAGCCGGTATGGTTACCTTCCTCCTCCAGACCCCCGCACGAGTCAACTGCAGACCAAGGAGGGGATTGAGAAAGCTATCAGGGTCATGCAGAGATTTGGAGGAGTCCAGGAAACCGGGGTGCTCGGTAACGTCTTAACCTCTCTCACGGCAGCACATCATGTGTATAACATGTTGCGTGTCACATGTGGTGCTGTGGTGTAGTTTCAACATCCAATATGTGATCAACTTCTCTTCTAGACAGCGAAACCACGAAACTCATGTCCACGCCACGGTGCTCTCTCCCTGACATTGTGGGGAGTGAGGACATGCTGAGGAAGAGGAGGAGGAGGAGGAAAAGATACGCTCTGTCAGGACTCAAGTGGTATAAGAAATACCTCACATGGAGGTGTGTTTCCTGTCATGTCACTCTGCGGCTTTATCACACCTCTGTATATGACTCACTTCAACAAACGAGAAGATGATCTGTGAATGCCAAAAATAACCAACACCTTAATTTTTCCATCAGTAAATTTAGTTTTAAAGCCAACTACTTAGTGTTGGGGTAAAGAACCTCTGTGTTTATCGAACTGATGCTCACATTAAAGTGTAATCACAATACACACTCATGCATCTCTAAATGTGTGCAAAATTCAGATGAAAAGAAACAGAACTTACATACAAAATATACAAATAAAACTGTATCCCATAGTTTTAATGATAAACCTATTCCATTGAGTAATAGTACATAAATAAAAACTTCAGATTGCTCTAATGAGAATTTGCAGCAACAGGAAGGGGTATGCAGGATTGGTTCAGGTTAAACGACAGCAGCCATGTTTAAAAGGTGCATGTGACCAACTGCATCAGTTTAGCTGAAGTGTTTTAATAGTTTTTTGACAACAATGGCGGAACAAACTGTTTCAGGATTTGGTCGACAGGCACATAAGAGTGGAGCTGATACGATTTGTTGACAATAAGAGGGAAAATAAGTATCAGCAGAAAACTAGAATATCTGTTGAAGTTGTAGAAATTTCAAACCTTTCAAATCCTTTAAATGAACATTTGATCATGTGGTAGGCTGTGTATTAAAATCACCTGCAGTATTTCGTGATATGAAAATACGGACGAGGTTTAGAAGGAGTTGTTAATAACAGTCCACAATTATGTTATAATTTAAACTACTACTCTGTTGTCTGCAGTATCGACAGCTTCCCATCGAGCTCTTACTCGGCCGGGCTGCCCAATGATATGGTGGAGAGCATCCTCACTCACGCCTTCAAAGCCTGGAGTGATGCGGCCCCCTTGAATTTCCGTAAGGTGCCGAGTGCCAGCCAAGGGACCGCAGCTGGAGGGGACATCAGAGTGTCTTTTGCTAGTTTGCTGCACGACGATGGGTATCCGTTTGACGGGAGGGGTGGCACCCTGGCTCACGCCTTCTTTCCTGGCTGGGACAAAATGGCGGGTGACACACACTTTGATGATCATGAGATCTGGAGCTATGGAGGTATTGACTGGATGTAATCATGATACAGGGATGATGGCTAGATGACCTGTCCCGCCTTAGACATATAGAATGTAATGGCAGTGACATCTAATCACCAATTTGTGGACGTTTGGGATCTAGTAACGCTTCATTCTCACATCCTCAGGTGTGGGCGAGAGCACAGACTTGTTCACAGTTGCAGTGCATGAGTTTGGTCACGCTCTGGGCCTTTCCCATTCCTCCACTGACCCATCCATCATGAGGCCGTATTACCAGGGTCCTGTGGAGGATATTCCCAACTTCAAGCTTGCCCTGGACGACAGACTGGCTATCCAGCAGCTCTACGGTCAGTGAACAGTCAAACTGCCGAACCTCTGATATATTGATTAAATACCACCTACATAACGTGTAGATGTGTTATCTGTTTGACAGAAACTATCTTTTGAAACAGTGAGGTGAACAGAAACTCCAGCTCAAAATAACTTGACTTTGATGGCTGTTGTCCTCTAACTGCTTTATTTTATATTTTCTGCCAAATCCAAGTATCAACATGGATCCAGAGGGAACATATGAAAAGAAGTGGGAGATAAAAGTAGACTTGAAAGGTCATAAAATGCAGAGAGACTTCACTAAGAGTTCACCACCTCTGTATTTCCCATGTTCAGCATCTTTTTGATTTGTGTGTCTTTATGCTTACATGCACAACATTACATTTAGCACCAAGCTGACCTGATGATGGTGCTACATAAGGAGATGGCCAAATTCACAATTTAACTTCTGGGGACCTTGCATATCTCAAGCAAATTTCACTTCAAGTTGTTCAATGATCTGAAGAAATTTCTCAGGAATGTCAACCTCATGGTGGCGCTACAATGAAAATCAGGGGATCGCCAAAGTCAGAAGGTTGCATTCTGTCGGAACCATGGATGTCTGAATCACATTTCATGGCAATCCATCCACTAGTTGTGTAGGTGCTCAAGTCTTTAAAGAAGTGGTGGAACAACTGACAAACCAACACTGCCATCAAATGCAACTCAAAGTCTCCCTTAAGGCGTTTCTTTCTTTGTCTTAAAAACACAGCATCCTGTGTGTCAAACTCCCCAGGCTACAGGGAAGGATATGGGTTGCCTGTAGTTTTTCCTGCTCTGTCATTTACTCTTTCACCTCTTCAACATTGCCCCCTGTCACTATTCTGCTTTAGGTGTGAAGGACAATAGGCCACCAGGTGGGGTTGACCCTAACCATCCAAGCCTGCCCCGTCCACCACCTCCAAAACCAACACGACCGTGAGTATAGAGCCAAAAAACAATAAATCCCTGACTACATCCATCTAGACAATAAGCACTTAATCATTTGCTTTATAGACAACATTTTCTATATCCATGCACTCAGTTCACTCCTGCGTGAATGAATGATGACTAATTTAAGACCAGAGATGGAGTTAAAAGCCTTCTGATTGATCTTTACTGTAAAAGGGTTTTGTCTTATTGCATCCTCTAGTGAATATTTAGTACACCGCATTCTATAAAAAGAGTTTTAACAAAATGTTTTCTATCCAGTTCTCAGCCCTCCTTTGGTGAGCGCTGCCATGCAAGATTTGATGCCGTGGCAAATATCAGGGGAGAAGTCTTCTTTTTTAAAGGTCAGTAGATAATAATGTACATGTAACATAAAGACATTCAGAATTGATATTGTTTCTGAATATACAGTGACATGTTGGTGCTGATGATTGGGCATTCACTTTGTTTTCTCGGGAAGGTGCACACTTCTGGAGAACTAAGCGAGACGGGTCTTTGGTGTCGCTCTATCCGTCTCAGATCAAAGACTTCTGGATCGGGCTCCCGCCGGGAATAACCAGGGTTGACACAGTGTATGAGAGGAAAAGCGACAGCAGTATCATCTTCTTTATAGGTACGGAAAGAAGGTGAAGCTGGATTATTCTTTTGATTTCGTCATTCAATGTTATTTTGATCAGGGGTTTTGAGCGAGGTTTGTTATACTGATAATATTATCACCATTGATAATAAGCTGCCATTTCTTCTGTAGGTTTAATTAATTTATCACACAGACACATAAATAAATAATAACACACTGGTCACAATTAAATCAAGAAGAGACAGTAATCCCCATTCAAGAACAATCCAACATGGAATATAAGTGTGTGAAGACTATTTAACTAAATATCTGCACAGTCTTTACCCAATTTTATGGCAATCAAATGGTATTAGATGGATTCATTTTCTTGCCAAAGTTGTGGGTAGACTGACTAAATAAACTGGCAATCTGGCAGATAAAGAAGATTCTAAAATGTTCTTACACACCTTGCCCCATCTATCCAGGATCTCAGTACTGGGTCTTCAAAGACACAGTGGCCATGAGCGGTTACCCTCGGCCCCTGTCTGAATGGGGCATGAAGACCAAAAATGGGGCACTGGTGGACAGGTTGGACGCAGCTTTTATCTGGGCTCACAATGGCAAAACCTACCTGTTTAGCCAAGGGGAGTTTTGGAGGTTTGACGAGAGCCGTAAAGGTGAACAGGTGACCAGAAATCCGGATCCTGGCTACCCAAAGGACTCCAGCCTCTGGGAAGGAGTGCCCTCCGACATGGATGATATCATCACCTGGGGAGAAGGTAACGTCTCAAATATGTGATGAATTTCATCAATGCAAGACAAATAAACAAAACCAAGGCAAAGGGCGATGACAAACAGGGCGACAGGTGCTTCTGGAAGGTATGAAGAGTCAAAATAATAACAGAGAGCTGATTGAAGTCAAGATAAGAAGTAACTACAAATCAATCAACTGGCTTGAGTTGCCGGTTTGTTCACTGGAATTTACCCCACAAATTCATCTCAGGTGACGAAATGTAGTCACTTCCTGCTTTTGATTTCATGCTATTCCCTAAATTGACAGAGTTAATACCAATAAATCCAGCAATGAGCTCTCTTTAAACCATAAAAGATTCCTTAGGGACTCTCAGCAAACAAACAGAAGCTTCTGTATGTTTCCATTCAGTTCATAATCTCAACCACACTGTGTCATCCTTGAGCCTGAACAAATGTGTTGAATGAGGGTATCCCTGTAGTTGCCGTCATTGTCTTTGCATTGTGTGCAGTCAAGTCTGTGTATCACCTCAACCTATGATACGAACAGGAACTCACTCATAAAACATGACTGCTTAACCCTATATGTAGTATATAGAAAAAGTATCTTAAGTACCACAATGTAAAAAATACTCATTTGCGAGTATAAGGACTACCCTCAAAAATAGTAAAACCTTTTGAACTTAATATACGGGACACAGGAGTAACGGATCTTACTTGTTATTCTCACTCAGTTTGTTGACACATTTTCATTTGTATCTGGATTAAATTGAGACTTTTGCTGGCTTGAAACAAATGTACTGATTATTTTGCAAGATTACAGACTTACATTTATGAGCATTTTACCCACAGAGGTCACCATCATGATTTACTTCCTCTGTTTGAAAAGCAATCAGGAATTTTCATCTACCCCTTTTTAGGGGGGACCTGAATACACTCCAGGTTTAGCTTAGCATAAAAGCATACCATTTGCCAATTAGCAATAAAGAAACATGATTTTTGACCTGATGGTGGTGCTAGGTGAAAAGACAAGAGAGCAAAGGGGACATGAATGACAAATATGAATGTCATGAGTTAGGGGAAAAGTGAGGATGTCAACAAAGTCATTAAGGATACATCCTCTGGACACCATGGAGAAAATGAAAATATTCAAGTAGATCATTTTCTACCTCTGCTTCTGTGTAACAGTAACTCTGGTAGTTTGTTACAGGCTAACCTTTGTGTCATGAAAAACCGAAGAGTCACTCTGTTGCCACTGTTCTTTAGGAGATACCTACTTCTTTAAGGACAACCTCTACTGGGTCATAAAGAATGGAGGACTGAACCAAGATGTCATCTCTCCTAAATCCATCTCTGTCGACTGGCTCAGATGTCCCGCTCCACCTTCAACCTCCACTCCAGCTGGTCCTCGATTCCCAAAGGAGTGCAAGTGCGACTTAAGGGGATCATCTTCAATTTTAAGAAGCAGCTGGATCCTGCTGATTTCTGTTTTATTGGTCATTAATGACTTTATTAGAAAATAGATTTTTGGATCTTTTGTTTGCTCTGAACCTGCTTGGTTTGTACTTGGATGGTTTGAATGCAAATTTGTATTTATTCTGATTGTTTTTGATTTGTCTGAATATGTGTTTTTTTTATTCCAGTATAATTGAACACTGGTGGCTGATAGTTGAGGTCTTATATTTGATGACAAAGTTTATCAATAGAGCAAATAATGGGAGTAGGCCTAGAACAGTTTTTATATATTTGTCCTACTCCTTCTCGAGCATTGATTGCCTTATTTGAATGATTCAATGGCATTTTGATATGACTGCTGTTTTTTCTTGCTTATATTTTCTTTTGAGTTATTTTACATGTTCTAAGAGAAATAAAGCAAAATAATATTATGTAATAATTGGGGCTCTTCACAGTCGTGTATGCCTTTAGAACACATTGCTGATCTGTTACAGAATGTCTGCACATGAGAGTGAGTTGTGTGCATGTTCTAGGCTCATTGGACAATCACAATCAAGTTCATATGCGTTGACATTCTAGAATGATACAAAAGCAGCACACAGTTGCAATTAAAAATGTCCAGTTTCAAACAATAAATCCAAGATTGCTTAAAAGTGACTGACACCAGATCATTTTAATTTAAATATTCAAGAAATCACAGTTCTTCATTATACCTCAGACCTTCGTTAGACTTTGATCAGCTTGACAATTTGGTTACATTTCATGTGCCAATATATCCACCAACAAAAAATAGCAAAGCAATATAAAACATACAACATCAAAATGAACATTTCAAGCATCAACAACTGTTGCCAAAATGTAACAACCAATTTGTAACTTTGTTAAGATAAGTTCTATTCAAATACAGTTATTATAAACATGACCAAACCCTCAGATTGCATTAATTAATCAATCACTGCTCCCAGTAGCATACATCTGTATACAATTTTTATAAATACCCATATTTATTATTTATTTCACTAGTAAATACACTAAAGCTACTCAGTAAACTTGGTATAATATCCCTTTCTCAGGCACCTGAATATAGCCTTGTCAGCTCAAAATGGATATCTCTTGTCCATATCTTGAAAGCAAGATGTGCAAGTATGCAAATGAAAAGCTTATGAATAATTATTGTCATTAATGTGACAACTATGATGGTCTAACTCATCAGAGCAGTAACCACCATTACATATAGAGTCCTCTGAACGATGACTTGATAACATTGTTAATGATGTCCAGTAAAGACTTTAGGTATTGACAACTTGAATTAGGCTGAAGTCAGACAGGATCATACAGGACAAAAACAGGTTAATCTGGAAAAAAATAAGTTGCTGGATTTTCTTTGATCAGTAATTCTTCCACAGAGCAAGACTCAGCACCATCAACCCCAGAGAGTAGCAGGTTGTGGAGGCAGAGCTTTTTGTGACTGTGAGATCTGGCTGGATGTTTCTGAAGACGTCCGTCATAAAAGGTGATGAGGTGTCGTTGATGTGTACTGTTGTGCTAAAGAGGTCAATCTGGAGATAAGACATAGGGTGAGTTAGCTGCACTGAGTCACTGTTGGAGTATATGTACTTTATGAACTGGCCACAGTACGTAAGGGTGAAGAGAAACTCACCAAATCCTTGCTGACTTTGATTGGCTCTTTGAACACAGTCCAAACCACGGCCTCATTGCAAGCAGGGGTGGTCAAGGAGCCAAGGTAACGATAGTATATTGAGCGGTTCACGCCAACAAGGAGGTCATCCAATGAAATTCCAGAAGGAATTGTAAAAGTTTGACCTGAGGACAGAAACACGACCTCTGAAGGGACTGCAGCTGACATTGTGTTATTACAGAGCAATGGATCAAATTTAGTCAAAAAGACTAAAACATCTCCTTACCTTTGGTTGTGATGTTAGCCAGATACTTGGTCAACTTCTTCCAGCTTTCAGGTTTGCCAGTCTCGCTGCCTGACATTTCCTGAAAGATTGCACACAGGAATTAATTAGACTCATGTTTTATTTCAAGCTTGGCTGAGGAAAGAAGTGTTTCATGGCCTTTGCATAAATTAACACAGAAGAGTAATGATACCTGAAAAAAAAAACTTAGGGAGAGTAATCTGAGTGTTTGAATGATACCTAAATGTTAGAAACAAATCTTTAAGAGCTGCACCTGTACCATTCTTGAAAAAATTGTATAAGCTGAAGTCTTAAATCAAGCCACTACTGATAGATTTGATTGAGGTGAGCTAAACTGACGTTCCATGCAAAGCAAAATTAGACTGACAGTCTGAGTGTAGTTTCACTGCGACCCAGTCATTCCAACAGAATGGGCCAGCTGGCCTATCAGAGCAAACTGGGCTTTAGAGACAGGAGCAAAAAACTAGCATTTCAGATAGAGGCTGAAAAGAGGAGCTGCAGTAATGGACAGTTTGAGGAATGTGATTCATGTGAACCCCAGTACGTGCATAATATTTTTCCCTCACGTGGCTGAATGCTTGAATTATCTCACCTCAATGAAGAAACCAAGGGCAGCAAGTCCTGTGGAGTCTCCAACAGCCTGGGTTGTGTTGCCATTGTAGGATGACTTGGCGTTTACAATGTGCATCTATGGGAGAGAAGAGAAAAAAATGTTAATGAATATATATATATATATACTATAGAAGCTGCAGTTAGTTTGTATTGAGCTGTAGTTTCTGTTTCTTCCTCCACTCTGACCTGCTCTCAGTTTAACTAATACAAACTCTTCACTAGTTATCAGGACCTGATCAGCTACCCTATGATTAACCTGATTAAAATTTGAAATTATTTGTGAGAGTGACACACCTCCATGGGGTAGCGCTTGCCATCCACTGTATGCTCAGAGCCAGGGATTGAGGAGCCATTTCCCCAATGCAAGTGGAATTGCAGGCTGTCGTAGACTTCGGAGAGACCTCCTCCTAAAATCTGAATACCGCTTTCTAATAAAACCTTGACTGGAAGATGTTAAAGAAAAGGACAAATGAGTGCTCATGACAACAAAATCCTGATAATGATACATAATTTGTAAATTTTTACATTTGGTTATCAAAAGATTTTTCATTTTGTAATTAGTATCAGTCCTCACCTGTCTTGCCGGTGTTTTCAAAGGTTTTCAATGCGGTGGCACTGTTGAATTTGATAAAGGTGAATTCTGTCAGGTTGGAATCAGTTTTTGCGGCTTGTGTGTTGATGTTAATGGGCGACTGTCGGGAGCCATCACAATATTTGGCGAAAGTTTTTGGCCAGGTGGTGTCATCTGTAAAACACAAACACAACTTTGAGTAGCTGTAGTGGAGCAGCTGAGATGTTGGATTGGTAGATATTACAGAAGATTACTCACTGCAGGTTGGCAGATGATAACACCAATCTGGAGGCAGAAGAGAATGTATAAGTATCACTTCATGATGACAAGTAGTTTCCATGGAGGCACACAAAAAGTCATAAATCCAATGCGATGGAAAAAACTGTTAAAATACCTACCGCCTGCAGCGGCACAATCAACCCTCGATATGAAGGCGCACACAGTTAGCACAATTGCTCCGAGGAAGATCATCTAAAGAAACAGTCACAAATTCAAATTCCTATTCCTCACCAAAATTAATTTCCATCCATGTTCAATCCTTGGTAAGAAAATGCATAATTCAAATATAAGAGAATAAAATCAATTTGTTTTAAAGTGGTTCTAATTTTAAATACCTTTGTTGATAATGGAAATAATACAAGGCTAAAAAGGTACAGGTTCCTCTGAAATGTGCGGTTGGAGTCGATCCTTATTTGGCTGAATCCAGGTCACCTGAGCAGCAGAAGTGCTCTTACCTTTGACGCACCTGTACCCTCCAGTCTTACACTCCCTCTTTTTATCCTCTCAGCTCTCCTCCCACCGGCTCTCTGGTGGGCTCCACCTCTTTTTAAACTCCAAATAGGGCATTTTTTTGTTAACTAAAACCAAAATTAAAAAACAAAAAAAACATTTTACTTTTTAGTTAAATGATACGTCCACAAGCATGTGAAATGTACTTATCAAATTGAAAAACTATATAGAAGGTTTGACCTATTATTTAAGGAAACTATGTATGTTCAGTATATTCAGGCTCATTTATGGACGTCACCAAAAGCAGTATCTGTCAGCTGTTCAAAGGTGGAAACATCGTGATGCTATGACATTTGCAGCATTTCTGTGAGCAGGTTAGGGTAGATGGTTGAATCAACATGGGCATGTGACTAGTTGTGTTAGATGAGGGCTGAATGTTAAAAGAGATGAATAGATTGACAGATTGGCAGGCAGAGACAGAGAGATCTTGATGTAGAAATTCTTGCAAGCAAAGGCGGATCCTCTAAAGAAACATCTATTTTAGATACACATCAATTACAGGTCCAAGCCACAGACACTGTATGGTGCAAGAATGCTTTATGAGGAAGTAAACAACTGCTGTTTGAGTCGTCCCTACAGTAGACAGTTCTCACAGTCCCAGTTCAGCACAACTACCAGTGGCTCTTTTTTGCTAAATGACTTAATAATAAACTCAATAACCTGCAGCTACCAACATCTCTGAAACTGTTTAATCAGCAGACTAACATTGCCAAACTTCTGATCAGTCATGTGCAAATGAACTCAGTGTTTGGACTATCACCACAAATCTTCAAATGAAAAAGTGAAGGTACAGGATTTATTGTTATTTTTGTTGTTTGCCGGTTATATGTATGTCTTTTTACGTCCATGTCTCACACCACATCATGAGGTTTTTTTCAAAACCAGTTTTACTGGCTGCACAATTACATATCAAATTTTTCTAAACAATTCATGTATGTAAAGGTTTAAGTAGAGTGTCCTATTACACCCATGGTTGTATTTGTATATGCTGTTGGTGGTTCCTTGTAGAGCCACATTGCACTTAGTGACAAGCTTTTTAGGCCTCTGCACCTGCAATAGCCAGAGGCTGGAGGCTTTATGTTTTCGGGTTGTCTATCTGATTCCTCTAATTTGATCAAGTCAAGTCAGTTCACTTGGATTCAGAGCTGAACAATTAGATTTTATTAACTGGAGGTCAACGTTCAAAGTCACAGTGACTTCATGTCCCTGTGAATGTGAAATATTAGGACTGCCTGTAGGGAATTCGATTACATCTGGTACAATTCACTTAGACTCACAGATAGATTGATTCGATTTCAGTGGTGAAAGGTCAAGGTGGCTTCAAAAAACTTGTTTTGGGCTCTTGGATGTGATATCTCAAGACTGCTTGAGGGAATTTCTTCAACTTTTGATGAGTTGTCACTTGGACTCAAAGATAAACCAATTACCTTTCAAGGGTTACAGCTACCTTTATATGAATTTGGAAAAAAAGTATGTAGAAATGTATACACAGAAACTGCACTGGTTGGAGGAGGTGTACAGCCCTAGTGTGGTAATTCTAGTTTTCTCCTCTACATTTTTAAAAGAATTATCAACGTTTTTTCCAGCAAATTACATGAACAGTAGCAAACCATTTTACAGAGAGTTATGAAAATGAAGTGGAGGCATGTGCATTTTATGTGCAAACATAAGCCGTGCAAAATCAAGGACGCCGTAGCTTTGAAACAGAAGCATGAATTGGGCTTCAGTCTTCGTATGGCCTGAGGGGAGAGGCTCTTCCTCATTCCCTCTGTGTTGGCCTACATGCAGTGGAAGGGCTTTCCTGTCTGCATCTGGGAGAACAGTCTGTTGCAGGTGTAAAAGTTATTAAACACCTTAGAGGGCAGCCTGAAGTCTCTTAAGCGTCCTGGCCTTCTGTTCTAGGGTGCTGATGTGACAGGACCGGGACAGATCCCGCGTGATGTGAACAAACAGGTAGACAACAGTTTCGTTCAGAGGCAGCATCAATACATATAGGATTTTAAAGATTTGCACAGACAACATGGCACTTACACGTGTTGAATTGATAATGATTATAATAACTTTCTTTGTATAAATGATGAGACACATGACACAAAATGTTTGATGTATAATAACATCATCATGGATTATTTTTCATGTTGGACATTGGCTACCTGTGATTGTCGCACAACAAGTAACACCTCTTCTCCAGAACTGGTTTGTTGGTGTGCAATAATTGCATGATTAAACTTACTCAGTGCCAACAAAACCATTGTCAGTTTCTGGGCGTTGTTGTTTAAAGATTCCTGTATTCAATGTGTACTTTTTTGACTACATAGGCCCGGTGCGGCAACACATCTCTGACTCATAGCTCTGTCAGTCCGTGTTGGGTGAAAATCTGTTTTATCTCAGCCTGTCATGGTTATGTATTTTCAGTGTTCCTCTCATGTTCCCTTCTGCCTTCCTCTGTGCTCCACCCTGTGCCTCTCCTGTGTTGTTCTCTGTGTCCCTCTCCTGTGTTCCCCTCCTTGTCCCTCGCTATGTTTCACCCTGTGCCTCTCCTGTGTTCATCCCTGTCTTGGTTATTGTATTTTGTTCTCGTTGATAAGTGTGTTCAGTGTTTCCTGTTTTATTTTGTAGTCCTTGCTCCCTGTGTGTTTTCACCCTTTGACTTCCTGCCCTCATCAGGTTCACCTGTTTGTCTTGTGCCACCTGTCCCCAGTTACTAATTAGTTCCAGTGTGTATATAAGTCTTTGTGTTCCCCCCTTGTGGTTGTTGGTTCATCATCTTCGTTTCTGGTCAGGTCCTGTCCGTCATCTCAATTCTAGTCATGTTCTGTTCGTGCGTCCCGTCAGCTCTCGTCACTTTCCCCGTAAGTTTGTTTCCTGTCCTTCCTGTGTTCCACTCCTCTTTTTGAGAGCGAATTTTGTTTCCTGAAGATTTCTTTTGTTACGTTTACCCCCTCTTAAATAAAATACACTTTTTGTTAAACCATATTTAGTTTCTGCGTTTTGGTCCTTCCCTTCCCTTTTTTCCCTACCGAGTCTGTTCCCTGTCCCCTCGTGCACCTCCTCCACTGAACCCTGACACAGCCATTTGTTTCAAATGTTAAGGTTATATGTATTAAAACAAATGTGCACTTTATGATGTTTTAGTTCAACTCCATTTCTTCCAGTTTCCTAAATCAGTCATTGGACATGCATGTGATTTGTCTACAGAAATTTTAAAAAAGGTCAGCAATGGCAGTGATGACTCCTGGTATGTCACAGTAAGGAATGTCCCCTGAACTTTTTGATTGCATTTTCATTCCCTTTCATATGGCATAACTGTGCTACTTTCAGTATTCTATGTTTGCCTTGTGTCAAATGTCATAGGTGTGTTGTGTTGATGGGTAACATGAATATATAGACTAGATCATATTTGCAGAGCTACTGTCATTTACAACTAGTACACATGTATAGATTGCTAAATTGCTCAGTCTTCCTCAGTTTACACGTACAATCCCTTACAGATGGACCATCTGACCAAAACCACATGAGATGTCAGCTAACGTCCAGTCATACTTCACAGTAACTGTATAAGATACAGTATAAGATACAGCGTTGTACATCATAATGGATTCAGATGTTATTAAAAGAAACCCAGAACTGCCAGACCATTAGGAGTCCATACTGCCTCTTCCAAAGTTGAATCCTTCCTCTTGTTCACTATATGCATCTGGACAAAGAAAAAACCGAAACTCACATTACACACAAAGCAAATCCTATTACAAACCATTGCATTTAATGCAACAACTCACGCGTTGAAGGATACCTGATACAGCCAACATGTCTTCTTTCAGTTAACTGGGAGTTGAGAGAGAACACAAGAAGTGTAAATGGCTTTCACAGACAGCATTTCATAATGTTATAAACCAACATATTGTGTTGTGAGGGCAGGCGTAGGTTTTGTATTTGAATCATAGGGTGATTGACTTGTCACAGTTTTGATGCCAACACGCTCCTGGATCATTCTGGTAATGCTTGTTTTTTTATGACAAGAGATTTGACCAAGAGCAACTGGCAGACTCTCTTGTCTCCAGGGTCTAAGGAAATAAACAGCCTCCTGTCTTCCAATTTGTCACATTCCAGGCAGTGGACACAGGTTATCAGGTCCGCTGCTGGTTTGGTGCCTCAGCTGCCTTTCAGTGCCTCACAAATTTAGAGCTGCATCCACACGCACTGTATGGAGCCCACTGATCTGATGTTATCAAGAAACCAGTCAGCTCAGCTGTGCAATAGTTAAATTAAAATGAAAATAAAAGGAAGGTACTATAAAAAAGTTAAATGCAATACAAAGCTACGACTGCATTCAAAAGGAGTGTGTGTGATCAGTTATTGCACATGTGTATGTTTAGTTATTGCACCGTGTGTGTATCAGTGCACAGTTTCAAAATAAAGTGCAGCAATCCAAATTTCGTTGAATCACATTCAATGACAATAAAGGCAATCTGAATCTGAAACAGGCAGGAAAAAAGATGTGCACAGGATTGTTAGTCATGAGTTGTTTAGGAACCTGATGGCCTGATAGGACAAACTGTTCTTAAGACAGTCACAAATCCTCCTTCACATCCGACACCACAACTGATATCTGGTTTATCAGGGATCAGGTTTATTTTTTTGTGATTTGGTCAAACACACTGTTGCAACTTTCAACTGTTGGAGCATTTTATTAACGGCATTGTCAACATGAAAAGACGCTTGCCTCCGTTTTACGGATCGGTATGCAGAGAAGAGCATGTCAGAGAGTCACGCTCCTTAGATAAAATGTGCCAAGAAATGTGTTTACCTGCCTGCCAGGGCTGATGGTCACATGGATAAGATGAAACATCAGGTGTCTTTCAGTCTCCATCTGATTCATAGGTGGTTTGCTATTTTCTAGTTTTTTCCTGTTGATGTCTGTTGCATGTTCTTTGCATCAGACTACTTTTAATATTTC